GGTCTCTCAAGTACCCAACACGATCCTGCCCCAACACCCACAAGTCCATCACATGGTCCAATCTTTCACTGCCACGAAGGCAGATCCCTCCCATCCACATCCAGTCAGGTGCAGAAACAAAAGTTGGCCTCCTCATGGTGCCGTTGGCCAGACGTGTCAGCTAGCGACCCCGAGGGGGAGAGCCTTCCCTCTGGAATGAGCTGCCCCCGGAGCTTCGCATAATCCCCAACTTCTGGTCCTTTCGACGCGCCCTAAAAAGTTGGCTTTTCCAGCAAGCCGGACTGGCCTGAATAGAATAAAATATAGGATTAATTTGGTTGTTAATTTTAATTTAATTTTTAAAATTTTATTGTAAATATCAATTGGGGTTTTTTTTGGATACTTTATTTAATGTCCCTTTTAATTTTTGTAAAATTTGTTTTCTTTTATGTTGTACGCCGCCCTGAGTCCTTGGGAGAAGGACGGCATATAAATCCAATAAAATAAAATAAAATAAATAAATAAATAAATAAATAAATAATTTGCAATTTTAGATTTCCCCAAATCAAAAATTCTAATCTTCTTTACAGAAATTTCCTAATCACAGGAGCATCCAGGATAATCCTGGCTAACCAGATAAACCTATTATAGCAATCATCACAACCACAAATTCATAGGGTTGGAGAACAAATATCATATAGACTTATGCTCAAATGTCATTATCAATGTCAATGAAAATATGTTAGAAGGAAGGAGATGGGGACTGCCATTTTCATGCAGACATGATTTCATTCCTAGTGGAGACATTTTTAAGGAGCTTTTAACAATCTGTTTTTAAAAATATAATAGCAGAACTCTGAGTTTAAGTACACTACTTCAGAAACTAAACTGGAAAAAGTATAAAACTATAATTTCCATACCATTTTTGAACCCCGTGTATTTATATGTATTTTCTTCTTGTTTATAAGATGCATAAGGTAACAACTCTGTTGATTTCCTTCTTGCAAACAAATCATTTATTTAATATAATGTATAATGTATAATGTTACAGAGTTTCATTACTTCATTTCAAGACAGAGGCAGGCAATCCAGAGTGAAAGACTAGGCTAAATGCTTATATTTTTATTTGTTTGCTTTGGTCTTTTCTTGTTTTGAATTTGACAGCAGCTAATGACTGTAATAAATTGAAGTTACAAAATTACAAACGAACAAATTCAGGATTATTCTAATAGAATTACTTTACATTATTAACACGAGTGTTTTCAAAATTATTCTTTTGAATTGCAAAAAGCTTGTAAAGTGCCGAGATCATTCACAAATGATCAGTGGACCCTACTTATTTAAATATCTTAGATTGCTACGAAATAGTTTAAGATCTGAATGGTGGGAATGAAAAAATATATATATAAAGATTTTCAGTAAGGAATAATTATTCTATATTGTTCTTAAAGAGATAGACCAATGAAGATCTTAATTAACTTGTTAATAACATTTCCATTGCTATTCCTAGCAAGTACTCATGTTGCTTATGAGTTAAGCCTTTAGTCTACATATTCATTTCTGTGGGGTCTTTTGAACAAGATATAATTCCCAACAGTTTTTAAGTGATTGACCCAGAGAGTAGTGCCGGTCACCATTACCAACATAAATAAATGGCTTCTGTTGATTCTGTATCTAGACAAATAACTTGAATCTGAGCAGGGTAGAAAATCATACTAGAAGTGAAACTGAGCCTAGGCTCCAAGGCTCCATCTATCTTTCAAGATGCGATTAATATTGCAAGGTCTGATAAACTGTTGTTGTATATAGGATAGCTTTGATGATCCAAATGTTTTCCCAAAACTTGATGGGAGGCTTGTGGGCTAAAGTAGTTTGATTTCCTGCACAAAGCTGAAACATCTTGCAGTTTTGTTGTTTGCAGTTATGTTACAATGTCAGCATTGGGTGAATTGGATGGTTGAAAATAAATCATCTGCAGAATATTTTCCTTGATTCTGTAACTCAAGCTTTTCTAAGATAAAGTATACTAGATAACCATTAAGGCCAGAAGAATCAGGTTGAACAAAGCTTCTGTAAATCTTATTACTGAGTGCTTAGCATTTCTTTTACTCAGTGCATCTGTAATCATTATATAATATATTTACTCAATATAACTTAATCCCATTCTAACTTCCTATAGAACCTGATAGTCTTAATCATATATCATTTATTGATATATATTAAAGTTTTTAGTGTTTGGGTGCCAATCCAGTTCCATAATATTTTTTCTGTTTAAGCAAGAGCGTCCTCTTTTAGTAGTTGGCAGGTACTGATTGTCTATTAGAAAGCAGAATGAGCATTCAGTGATTAGTATTTTTAAATAAATGGCTCTAGTGCAAAGGTTCATGCTCTTATCCTTGGTGAACCTGATCCAGAAATGAGACGGAAGCTTATTCCCATGCAAGTGGTTCATGGTTATATTAAATTACATTTGTCATAATTTGATATTTTATTATACTGTGTTGAAATTTTACATAAATTTCCAAGGGACAAAAACCCATCTTAATACAGTTGTCCATATTGTCCAGATCAAGTGGGCAATAACGCAGGGTGATATAGGAATAAATCCAAGTCTCTTTCATAAGATTGTCTAATAGAAAGAAGTGTTATTTATATTTCAAAAATCTTAATCTACAAATCTTTCAGTAATTCAGACTGTAATCCTATACATAAACTCTATTCAATGCAGTTCCAAGTGAAAGCCACATATAATGCAATTCTTGAAATATTTAATTTTCATAACCCAGAATAACTATATTCATAATGCCTAAGCATTGTATCAAAGAAGAATAAAAGATCTAGGTTTATATAAGATGCAACTGTGTATCTGACTCATCAGTAAGTGGTATTCTTACAGTCATGCCCACACCATTTCCTGGTTGGATTACTGCTCTATGCAGGCCAGTCCTTGAATACTATCCAGAAACTACATCCGATCCAGAATGTGGCAGCATTTATAGTTCTGGCCCTCCACAGCAGTACTGGACAAGCTGCAGTGGGCCTCCAATTTATTTCTAGGTGCAATTCAAGATGCTCATTATCACTTTTAAATTCCCAAAGTAACATGGAACTTGCAGGAATGACTGTTCCTCATTAGTGGCCCATTATGCTCCATTCTAAGTCCTATGCCATTTATCCTCTGATCACAAGATCCAAAGTGAAATATGTGCAGCTCTTTTTATAGTTTAGAGAAACAACCTAAAAGAAAAACAGAAATGCTTGTATGCTTAATACACTTCCATGCACAACACTTTAGTCATTCCATGTGCACACTTAGTAAAAAATATAGATCCTCCTCCTGAAAGTCTTAAAATCATCTACTGAATTAGGTTATGTAATTAGGAAATTCTCAAGCATTACAATGTGTGAATATAATTTTTAGCAAAATTGGCACTATTTCATTGCTACTATGTCTTTTATGCTTTCCCTTTTCAATTTATATGATGATTATAGTGGTACCTTGGTACTCATCATTAATTGGTTCCCAGAAGCAAAATGAGTACCAAAAAATAAGTACCAAACATATTTTTCCCATATGGAATAATGTTAGTGAATCACAAGGCAGCTGACACTGACAAGTTCTAGTATGTGCATCATACTGGAATTAAGACATCATACAGACATCATACTAGAATTCTTTTAGTGAAACATAGAGATTAATAAAGTGTAGAACTTAGAAACAATCTCTGAATGTCTTGGTTAGAGAAGAGTAACTAAATTGTGAAAAATGTACCCCACCTACAATAGGGATAGTGTAGCTTGGGGCTGATTGAGGCTAAATAACCTCACATACCACACTATACCACTCACAAAACCCAAGACAGTTAACATTAATTGTCTCTCCACCTTTAGCAGCCTTGCTACATTTCTTAAGGCAGTCTATCCCTTTTTGCAAAAATTCTTTGCAAAAAGAATTTAAAAGAATTTATATTGGCACCGTTCTCATAAAAATGAAATTTAAAGAACTTCTAAAAAGTGAATCATTCAAAAATATTTAATGTCATTTGAGGCCTGACTTCTAACTTTGGTAAGTCCAGAATCAATTTAGACTGCAAAAAGTTGCCTAACTCACAACTTACAGCTTCTTATTTAACACAATCTCTGTTACAGGTTGCTTAGTTATAGAAAATCCATCAGGTAAGTTGCGTTTTATACTGTGTCTAGTCTGATGATTTGAAATGTGTGATATATATTGGTATAGTTATTAGAAAAAGTTCCAAGCTGTGTATAAATCATAAAAGCATGACCAATTGCATGGTAACTGGAGAAATGCTTTCTCTCTCTCTGGGGTGAAGCCTGCATGTCTGTGTTTTAGCTTGGCAAGTAATATAGGGATATTTAACTCCTAGGGGTTTAAAAACCATGTCATTATGGGAATGAAGTCACTGCTATATTTTATGTATCTAAAGCCCTGCATTGTATAAAATGGTTTCTGTGTGACAAAAGAAGCATTATCTGCTGGATTTGAACTGAAGGGTGATTTTACAAATGTACATAAATATCAAAAGATTGCCTTTGGGAGTAATCACATTTGTAAAACAGTTTGTAGACAACAGTTGCAGGCTGTCACATAAATAGTGTAAAATTTAAGATGGGATCCTGTTATTTAAAAAATGTTCCAAATGTAAAATAAGTCTTTTCTTTTTAATTGTTTTATGTGCATAAAAATGATAGGTTAACTTTCCAATAGAAATGTCTTTATTTAAAACCCCAAATTATCAATTTTCCTCTTTTATTTCAAGGCCAATAGGCAAGAAATGTTTTCTGCAACATGTTGAAGATCTGTGCACAAATAACAACATCAAGTTTCAGGAAGAATTTTTGGTATGTTATCAAACAGTTCTCACAACATGCAAAGTCTCCACTTGTTTCATGTGTCACATTTGATGTACTTTGATCATTAGTATTCAGTAAATAGTTCGGGCACATTTGATATTTTCACATGGATAGCAGTGTTATATACTATTACTTCTCATTCTATTTGATCAGAAGAGTTCATACACTCATCCTCCTTATTCCTGCTACAGAAATCTTTCCCTCACTGCTGCTTGCATTCAAACAAAAAATGCAAGCTATCCATTCTATATTCTCTTAAGAAATATTCCTTTTTAGCTGACTTCCTAACATCTGAATATATTCACAGTATGCAGCATAAATAATTCAAGTTAAATCTTTAATATGTCATACTCCAGCATAAGCATACATGAAGTCTTGTGGATCAAACTCTATTGTCCTCGAAGGCAGTGGGATTCTTTCTAAAGATCTGCTGGGAAACGAAAGCCTTGTAGCAATTGGTTGACCACTGCTGAGCTAGATTGACAGGACATTGATTATATTGCAGTAAATGCTGGGCTGAAAATTTCTTCCAAATCTCGTTATTCCCATTCAGTTTATTTTTTAAAAAAATCAGTTCATCCTTCCCTCTCTCCCTTCTTTCCTTTAAGTTTTACGATTCTTAACACCTATTTTGAGGTTGCTCTGTCACCCATATCCATCTATAATTTTCCCTCAAGCAGCCCGAAGACTCCTTGACTTTGTGCTTTAATTAAATATCAGAGGAACTGAAATTTGAAAAATGATTTAGATCAAGAAATGTGGGCAGCTTGAAAACTGCAGAGGGAAATATTATAATAAACTACAACTACCTCCTCCACTATAACTTAATAAAGGATTTGCTAATTCTAAGGCAACATGAAAATGAGGTAAAAGGTCTGGTGTATCTTGATACAGATGAAAATCATTGTGAAAAAGGAAAATATATTTTGGCACAGTATTAATTGGAAGTGTTCATACTACTATACTTCCTGTGTACTTTTTTTTTTTTTTTGCTGAAAACAAGAGTAACCTAAAAGTCATAGCAACATATATATTATTTTATAGGAACTCCCTAAGTTTCTTCCAGATCTTGCATTAACTGATGCCGATCTTCCTTGGAACAAATCTAAAAATCGTTTTCCAAACATCAAACCATGTACGTAGTTGTTTTACTAATTATATTTTTCTGAAATTAATTTTTAAATACTGCCATGTCAAAATTGCTTATATCTTTTTGATTATACAATCTGATGGAGAAAGCCATTTCTTTACTTATTTTCTAAAGAAAAATATTTGTGTAGAAATCTCAGAATTTTATTTTTGTTATGAAGTAGATGAGAGATGTGTGAATTTATTGTGTCTTCCATTGTACTATCATCTCTGCAACAGTCTATTATAGCTCAAGTAAAGGGGATAATAAAGGAAGTCCTCCCATGGGACTTTCTCAGATTAGGCAGGCGGAGAGTCTGTGGATTAGTAAAGAGATCTGAAGCAGCAGATTGTGCACTGCAGTTGCAGAACAGGAAATAATACAGCCTCCTGGTTTCTTAGCTTTGTAATATAATCCATCCTAATTATTCTTCTTGGGCTGTGTACTCTGGAGTAAAATAAAGTTATCTAAAAGTGCTGGATCCATCTCTGGATGTGCTCACTTTTTCTTTGGAACATGATGATGCTTTCTTAAGATACTTGTAAATGTGGTATGTAGCTGATCCAGGAAAGATCAGAGTAAATATATAGAAATTTAGAAATCCAGGGTAGATTTTATCACAGGAGTCAGGAGTCTGTCTCCCTCTGTAGTCAACACTGCTTCATTTTTCACTTATTAAGAAAAGAAATGCTATTATTATTTTAAGCATTAGCTGTGATGTGAGATGGGGACAATGCATTCTTTGGTTAATGTAGCCACATTCTGTGCTATTAAGTGTTGAGAACAGCTGCTCCTACTATCTGCTACTAGTTCAGAAAATATTCTGTGCTCAGGTTAACCTGAGCTAATATGCCTAAAGCAGTAGCAGAATGCATACTCAGAGTTTATCTCTTTTTGGACATATACTCAAAACTCTATTCTTCTATTGCATTATTTATTAGCATATGCATTCAGCCAAGATTCAATTTGATTTTGCAATTTAGTTTAACTATTCAAAATCAGTTTGAATTAATTTTGTTCAACGATTACATGAAATAAAATATCTTTATCCAAGTAGATCATCCCAAGGAATCGTGAGTTAGATTCAGTTACCTGCTTTAATCCAATAATTGAATAGATTCAAATAGGTTATTTGATTGAATCTTCTTCTAATTAAATCTTTGTATAATTCTATTATTTCTGCCATTCCAGGATGCTTCATAGTAATATTCGTTAATATGTGTTGCCTCGGATATGTTCTGTTGGAAACAAATAACATACTCAATTTTGAATGTGTTAAGGAGAACTAAATAGGGACATAGAGACATGTATATATAGATTTAATTTGAGATGGGAAAACCAGCACAGAATTCAATTTTTCTTCCCACAGGCCCATGTGTTTGTCTCTGTGTGTGCATGCGCACACGCATGCGCACACACATATCTTTTTCTTTCAGTGTGTGAAGAGACAAAAGTTGTAAATTAAAATGTTTATCTAAAAGTCTTCTTCGTTAATTGGTATATTGCTTGATTCTGTTAAACTCAACAATGGTTTTAATGGTTAAAAATAAAACTGAAATAAAAAATAAAATGCATATTATATATGCATATATGTAAAGAAATGTTTATAATTACAAGTTATTTCAAGTATGATGTTAGCCTATCATTAAATGTCATCTTTCCTAAAATGGTTTATCTGTATGTGCAAATATGCATATGTACATAGACTGTTATCTACCTATCTATCCATATATTCAATCACTGAAACTTTGGAAAGATGCTTTGATTTAATTTCTTTTGCACAGATAATAATAATCGAGTGAAGTTAATGCCTGATGCTTGTGTACCAGGATCTGATTATATTAATGCCAGCTATGTATCTGTAAGTTTATAACCATTTTAAATTGTAACTACATTTTTTTTCCATGCCACTTGGTGATTTAGAAAGAAACATATTTTTATGGAAAAAATGCATGAATTTTCTTTTATTCTTTCTCTGTATTACAATATAGTTACAGACTAATTTCAATCATCCTCATCAGATTTTTATTTTATTCATTTGGTTCATATGGAAAACAAAAATAGCTTACTGTATACCTTGAATTATGCTATAATTTATATTTCAGTTTTCAAGAAAATGTTCCATGATCGCCTGTTCCATCAGTTCACAGAATATTTTACTTCTGCTTTTAAACTCCAGTATGATTATCATATTTCAGCTAAACACCTAGACTAGTTGTCTGGTATATTTTAAGCTCTTGGAAGGCAAATCCTTCACTTTAAGCTAGGAGCAGACCACTCTGGATGCATGCAGGAGAAAGATAATCATAATGGGATATACTGTGGAATTTGTTTTCTTTGTAAGATTCAATACTGCAAAGACTATGTGTGTAGAGAAATGCCTAATATTTATTTTAATTTTTTTCTTAGTTCCAAAAAATGTATTGTTGATTTTGGAATGCAAGTCATTCAAAAGAACTAAATAACAAATTTCTAAATTTTAGTTTCTAACATATGTTGTATTTTTAGCATCATTTTTTCTGCAACAAAAGAGAATGTATGTGGCTGAGCATTGAACTATGAAGTTTTTGGTATTCCTTGAGTTTTAATTGTTTGCTTGCAGATGTTTATTATATAACTAGTACCATTAGTGCCTTACACTTTAGAACTGAAATCTACAGGATTGGACCAGCTGTTATGCTCTGTCCTTAACCAACACAATATTTTGAGAATTTGGAAGCTACATTCTCAAGTAAAAATCTTTAGATACTTATAGGTCAAGTGGTTCACAATTATCTGTGAGCTACTAGTTTTACAATTATGAAACAGATAATACAATACAATAGCAGAGTTGGAAGGGACCTTGGAGGTCTTCCAGTCCAACTCTCTGCCCAGGCAGGAAACCCTGCACCACTTCAGACAAATGGCTATCCAACATCTTCTCAAAGACTTCCAGTATTAGAGCATTCACAACTTCTGGAGGCAAGCTGTTCCACTGATTAATTGTTTAACTGTCAGGAAATTTCTCCTCAGTTCTAAGTTGCTTCTCTCCTTGAGTAGTTTCCACCCATTGCTTCTTGTCCTGCCTTCAGGTGCTTTGGATAATAGTTTGATTCCCTCTTCTTTGTGGCAACCCCTGAGATATTGGAACACTGCTATCATGTCTCCCCTAGTCCTTCTTTTCATTAAACTAGACATACCCAGTTCCTGCAACCATTCCTCATATGTTTTAGTCTCCAGATAGCAAGGAAAAGTAATATTAATATTTACTACTTGATGAATTCAACTTATGGATGCAAAATATTTGCTTGCCTTGGTTTGTTGTTTGCTGTTGAAAACCACAGTTTTAAATAACATGCTATACAAAATGGATGCCAGTCACTAATGTAGCTTATCAGAGTGCAAACCTTATACACAAAGCAAGATGTGAAGAATCAGGAACCATTCCTCAGTCTGTGTTCCTGTGTGCTGGGGGGGAGGGGAGAGAAAACTTCATGGAATATTATATATTTACTTTTAAATGATATAATGTGTAAAAGGAAATGCTATATATTTGAAAACATATCAAATTAAGAAACAAACTGACTTGTGAATGTAGCAATTCTACCTATCTTTTTACTAAAATCATATTATTTTCTATATTTCTTTGAGGTAGCAAATGGTAAAATTTAAGATATCTCTTTTGTTTTGTTTTATTACAATAGTGATTATTTCTTCTGTTTTGGAGGTTGAGCTTTTTGCCATTTGATTGTTCTAAAAAAATCTGCATTCTGTTACATCTAATAGTTTGTAGCTCCACCTTAAACAAATAGAACATTTAATATGAAATACAATCAATAATTGTATAATTATTACCTAATAAAGTACTCAATTTTATACAGCAGACATATTTTACAACCAAGCCAAATTTTAGTATATGCCATACATTTTCTATCAAAGCGAGTTTATATCAGAAAAAGATGTTAAAAATTAAGTATTACATATATTTCAATTTTTACCCAAAGTTCAATTTCCCCTAATTGGTAAATTGATTTTGTCCCCATTGTTACAAAATTTCAAGTAATGTTACATCTCTAATTTTACCATGGTGATTTTCTATGCAAGCTTTGTAGAAATGTAATTTTCAAAAATCCCATTAAGGAAAGAAGGCAAATCTATTATAGAACATAACATTTGAAGAGACAGGCGTTTTGCAATATGTTACGTTTTGCAATATGTTACAAATTTTGGGGAGAGGGTTGTGTCGAAAGCATCAACGTGCTTCTGTGGAAAAGAATTTGCCAGTGATATCATTGTTGCCTGGGGGATGCCCAGGTAACGGTTCCTTTCATGTCCCTGTGAAGTTGCCCACCAAAGTGGCAGATGGAGATGGAGCATGTGATGTGACCTTACCCCACCCCACAGCAGCAACAAGTTTTGAACAGGAGCCTGCTGATGGGCAATGCAGCATTCTAACCTTGGGAACCACCACGATCCTTAGATTTTAGATGTTTAATATCTAATCATCACCATTTTCTAAACTATATATATAGAAAACCAAGGAATGTAGACCAGTTAATTAATAGCTATTAGAAATATGTATTGTATTCAGGGAGTATTCAAGAAGAGTAACTTTTAATATCTACATGCTAGAAGACATGTTCAATATTTTACTGAATATATAGTTTAATATGATCTTTCCTCTCTTTTTTCTTTAGCAATATGTACTAAGTTTCATTTTTACTTTAGGGCTATTTATGTCCAAATGAATTTATTGCTACTCAAGGACCATTACCAGGCACAGTGGGAGATTTCTGGAGAATGGTATGGGAAACAAGAGCAAAAACTGTTGTTATGCTAACTCAGTGTTATGAAAAAGGGCGGGTAAGTTACCAATATATGGGTTAAGAATGCATTTGAAGACTCACTATTATCATACATTCATTAAAATGATATGATTTTATAAGACATCATATTGCACCCTGATTGCAGATAAGATGCCATCAATATTGGCCTGAAGATAACATTCCAGTTACCTTCTTTGGAGATATAGTGATTACTAAATTAGTGGAAGATGTTCAAATAGACTGGACCACCAGGGATCTAAAAATTGAAAAGGTAGGAATAGACTTTATTTAAACTTCCATATTCTGTGAAAATTATAATCTCCAGCTGTAATGTCTGACAACACTTCCTTACTCTTGGGATCATTGTTTAAATTTCTTGATTAATATATCTTGGCTTTTATGATTCCCAATATTGTGATGTCATCAGATTATTTTCTGTAAAGTTAGAAAAGAATATTTAGATATTATTTTGCCTTATCCTGCTGTTGTACTATAGTAAAAAAAAGCCAATATATTACAAAACAAATATGAGTGTTTATTTTCTGGGAAATTGAAATCCAAAGAACAAGTTATGAAAGTATATTCATCACTATAATATTTTAATTTGTTGGCATTTCAAATCAAAGACAGAGCAAATCACTAGCATTACCCAAGCACAGAGGATCATAACAAAGGGAGGAAATGTCCATTAAATTAAAATATCACTTAATAATGTGATGTCAAATTATGCTGAATTATATTGGCTGTGACTTTTACAGATGCTTTACAATGCCCAGTATGTCAGTTCAGTTGACAGTAACTTATGAACAATATTCAGAAATCTGATCTTTAAGAATCAGTAAACTAGGTGGCTTCATTTCTGTAATATTCCCAGTGATTCTATGATGTTATTGATTCTTGAATTCTGTATCAAGAGTCAATTGTAGTTTGTCCTATTAACAAAATCAAGACAATGAGGTACAAAATTAATGTTCCATTCCAAGTAGTAATTACTAGTTGAACTGCTTATCAGGCTTCTGTAAACAAACATTTTAGCCATTTAGGGGTACAATACATCTTAGATGCCTATCTTCTTAGGTAACAAATATCTTAATAGAGTGTCACCAAAAAAATCCAATTGTAGTTTATTCCAGTATGAAAGGCCTCTCAAAAGGTAACTAAATACTATTCTAACTAAAAAAAAAAAGGTACTTTTCTTTGTATATCTTAACAGCATGGGGATTGTATGATGGTACGTCAGTGTAATTTTACTGCCTGGCCTGAACATGGAGTACCTGAAACAAGTGCATCATTAGTCCACTTTGCAAAGCTGGTCCGAGGCAGCCGATCACATGACAACACACCCATAATTGTTCACTGCAGGTAAGCAGATTTTTAACAGATCTCATCATGTTAAATAATGGGATTAGTTTATTAGAACAGAAGCAATGGACTGGATTCTAATACGGAACACAGAATCTATGTATAGATTAAGAAGATTGACATTTGTGGTGAAACCTATTTAATATACAGCAACAGACATATTCAAGAGTTCAAGGTTTCAAGTACATAAATCACAGATTGGTAATAGATGTATAATGAATTAGGTATAATACTGTAGTTACCATTATAGTAAAAATCTTAATATAGAATATAACATTTACCATAAATCTAGAATTGTATCTAAGAAAAGTTCCTTCTATTTTGAGTACCGTATATATTATAGATAATACAATGAATTTATATGATGAAAAGTAACATATCTCCAATATATACTTACCTAAGAATAATTATTTTGCAACAATATTTAATCAAACTGTAATCTGGTTCATTGTAGTCATAATTGTTTCCATTAAAAGTGCCAGATATTTCCATGTGTGTTTCCCCTCTACTTCTTATAGTGCTGGAGTTGGAAGAACAGGAGTTTATATTGCCCTTGACCATTTAATACAGCATATAAATGACCATGATTTTGTGGATGTGTATGGACTTGTAGCTGAACTAAGAAGTGAAAGGATGTGCATGGTACAGAATCTGGTAAGATGTTTTAAGATACATGCGGTGGCTCAGTTCTCAGATTGCAGGTGATTTCTCAGAGTATAAGTAACTCTTGTTTTTCTCCTCCTTCTCCCTCCCTCCCTCCCTCCCTTACTCCCTTGACATGGGGAGAAATATTATGAGGTAGACTTATATACATATATCAATTTTGTTTGGAATCCACAATGTCACTGAGGTATGAAATAGATATTTATTTCTATTTGTATCCATCTTTGAAAGTCTTAATGTTTTTAATCCAGTGAAAAAAAGAAAAGCAAAAAAATAATGAAATAATGTTAACAACAACTGGTGACAGTAATGGTGTTCTTATGGTAGGGGAAGGAGCAAAGTAGCTCACATGGTTAGAACACTGGGTTGACAATTAGCAAGTCCATGTTCAAGACCCAAGTGCTGCTGTTTGTGACGGGATGAGCTTTGATCCTTCTCTCTAGATCCTCTCTACCTAGTAGTTCGAAAGTGTGAAAACACAAATAGATGAAATAGGTGCCATTTTTGTGAGCACATTAACAGGGACATGAATGGAGCCCCCAATTAGGCATCCCCTGGGTGACAGTGATGTCATCATCAGCCAATCCTTTCAATCCGGAAGCGCCTTAGGGGCTTCCGACACAAATGCGATGGTAGGAGAGCACTGAAAATAAAAGGAACCATTTATTGTTAAAGCCAGCACTTAATATAGATAGAGGCAGGGAGGCTTGACTGAAATATATATAGACTTTCCTCCCAACTTGCTAATGTCAGAAACAACACTCAAAATAATCATTTGTCAAAGTTGTATGTTCTTTGCATTAAGCACATCACAGAAGTAATGAATATGTTGCTTGAGGATTGTTCCTCATGTAAAGTGCATTACCTTTAGAAAATATATGTCTGGAGCAAACTTATATTAACTAGAAAGGTGAGAAACTTTGCTTCAGCCCTAAAATAATAAGCATTGGATCTTCTGAACCTGTAAGCCAATCAGAAGCCACCACTTTGACCTTTTTCTCTCTCCTTGTTTTAAGCATATGGGGGGGATAAGTAGGAAACTGAGGACCTTTCCAATCTGAGGAATGTTCCAATCAATAAAGGTGCCTTGATTTAACTAAAGTCTCGTTCTTTGCTTGATGGTGCTTGTTTGATGAATCCAGGAAAATCCTCTATGAATCCTGGATTCATAGATCACATTATGCAAAACAATACTAAACCCCTATTGCAAGATGATTGGACTTGATTTGGAATCCAAGAGGATGTGCTATGTTAAAATATATTAAAACATAGCACTGTTTCTTATAGCTCAAATCAGGCCCAACTAACTTACATGAGTACTTCCTTAAGGTTTAATGGGTTTGGCATAGTTTTATTTTTATTCACCTGGAAATTCAAATTGGGAGAACATTGTTATTATAGTATACCTAGAGGAATGGTCTTCAAAATTTCAAAAACCAAAATAAAAATTTCTCCAAGAAGATTAATTTTTGTGAGACTCTGAGACATTATCTTATTTACATGTGAACACCATTGTGATAAAAACATGGTCCCCTCATCATGTCCCAGCCTCATCCTGTGTTCTTCTTCATTATATATCCCTTTGAAGAAGCTGCAATAAGACATGTGATCTGACTAGAATGGGTTTCAGAAGAACCACCAAATATGAATTAGTTGTAAGAATGTTGCTTTTTCTAAAAGTATGAGTATTAAATTCAAAAATTGCCTCAAAACAAGTTCAGGTTAGCAACAAAATATCTCTGAATAAAGCTTAACCACTTTAAATGTCATACTTTCTAGGCACAGTACATATTTTTACATCAGTGTGTTCTGGATTTGCTGACAATCAAGAACAACCAGCCTCTATGTTTTGTTAACTATTCAGTTTTGCAAAAGATGGATTCTTTGGATGCAATGGAAGGTATATAAATGTATTTTATCAAAATTATTTTTTGATTAAAAAATGGTAGAAAATTTATTTGTCACACATTTGAAAATTATGAGAAGCATTATTTATATTACTTTATTTGATGTTTTTGTTTTCAACTTTTTGAATAAAATCAAAGGCAATGAAACTCATGAAATTCTATAGTTTTCTTCCTAACCTAATATTTATTCAATCACATGGTTTTATTCTTGCTCTCTGTATCTTTTCCACAATATGAAGTCTATTACCTTATCATATCATTTTTTTTCTTCCTTCAAAAAACTGGGAGCAAAAGCTCTTCTAATAAATTTCTTTAAGTGGCATCTTTATGATCTGATAATTTTTGGCCATGTTGTCCTTCATCAATATCCAGATTTCTACTGTTAAGATAATAAATTACCATATTTTTTGCTCCATAAGATGACCATAACACGCATCTAGGTTTAGAGGAAGAAAACAAGAAAAAATATATCTGCCTCTGCCTCCTAGCTTCCATCCAGTATTCATCTGGCAAGTGTTCTTACAGCAAACAGCCTGGCCAGCTGCCTCCGCTGGGGAACTCTGGAGCCTTTGCCATTGAGCAGCTGATCGGTGGTTGAATTGGCCTCCTGGAATACTGCTAATTAGCTGTTCCAGGTGGCAGGGATCGCTGCCACCATTCAACGCTGCTGCCTGTCATCCATATTCACTCCATAAGACACACAAACATGTCCACTCACTTTGGGGAGGGGGTGCATCTTATGGAGTGAAAAATATGATATTTCATTGCACTATTCATGGAATTGTCCCCAGATGTATCTGTCAACTCCCAGACCTAATAAAAATACTTTGTCATTTGGACCCATGATTTTGCCCTTTTATCTTATTGGTGATCTATTGGATACAATTCTTAACTTAGTTCTACCAACCTCATTTTTCAGATTATCACCCTATTTTTCCTCTTTGCTTCATTTCTTGTATTTTTACTCAAAACACAAAATGTTTGTTACATGCCCTTTGATATCTTTTTATCACTAAGTACTTATGCATACTTTTGTTTTAATATAATAGAGCATATATTGGATATAGAGTATAGAATATGTGTGTGTGTGCGCGCGCGTGTGTGTTTGTTTGTGTTAGAATATAAACCACAAGTTGAAAATAAGAAAACTACCTTGATGGTTATTTAAAAAAAACATTAAGTAGCTTATTCTTCCATTGATAATGGAAGCATAAGAAATCCATGTAATATATTTTAAATACTTACTAAACCTTCTGTGTAATTTAAGATTAATATGTAGAAAGTTCAACCAGTGTTCTCTTTCTTTTTCAGGTGATGTGGAACTAGAGTGGGAAGAAACTACTATGTAAATACACAGATTAAAATGCATTCCATTTCAGGAAACATAGGCTTGTGTTCATGTTGATGTTGTTTCACAATAGGGGCCAAAATATATCCCCATCATACAAATGATTATAAACAAAAATATTTTTGTAGCAAAATAAAATTATAAAAGTTGTTTTCTATTTCATGTGCCTTCACAAATAATATAAATTATTAAATTATAATTTTATACTGAGTAAAATCTGATTAGTATAATACAACTGTACACAATAAGAACAATCCAGCAATATACATTACAGTAAAATACACATTGCAAGATATTCTCAGTGGTTGTTCATTTATATTGTTTCTCTACTTTTTTCTAACAATAGCTAATGTAATATTGTAATCCATGATAAACTGCCATCATAATTATATTTTTCAGTGCTAATGAGTAATGTAAGGAACATGCATTTCATAAAAATAAGGTACCACTCATAGTTTCTACCAGTATTACCATATCACATGACTCAACTCTGGTTGGAAAAGAAAGTCTGTAAGTAACTAGGCACCAAATCATAAAGCATTTAAAAAGATAAAACTAGTCACTTTGAATTGCTTCTGAAATTGGATAGCAAGGCAGACTATTAATGGGCATTAAAAAGTACAATATGCTTGTGGGAAATAACTGCCAAGCTGTGTTCTGAGCCTGAGTGACCTTCAAAAGCCTTATGTAGACCACATTGCATTAATCTAAACAAGTAGCAAAAGAAGAAGCTAAAGTGCTCTGGAACTTTAGAATTCAAACAGACACTCACCTACCCCAGACTTAACAATTGTTGATAAAGATCAAAAACTCTGAATTGTGGACATGACAGTATCTGACAGCAGAAGAGAAGAATAAGGAATAGAGAAAATCGCAAAATACAAAGACCTGCAAATAGAAGTAGAATAACTGGTAAAAGAAAGCAAAGACAGTACCAGTACTGTCTGGGCAACTTGGGTACAATCCCAAAACATCTGGAACACCATTTGAAGACCATTGGCATTGACAAAATCACTATCAGTCAATTGCAAAAAGCAACTTTACTTGGAACAGCTTACATCTTGCAATGCTCATTTAATATTATTAAACAACAATAGCTGCCTAGCCCAGGTCCTAAGGAAGGCCAGATGCAGTCTAAATATCTGGATGACTGTGTGACCAGCCATAGCAATAATAATTCTACATAGTTTCAAAATTATAGCCAGATTTCTCAAATTCCCATGCATTCACAGAAAGAGACTTCAAAAAGATGTCATTTGTTTCTGGAAAAGGATAAGTTTAATTCAAGAGTATGCTTTACTCCTCTGGAATAGCCTTCTTTAAGGGCAGATGGCTTCCTTCCTCATGGTCTTCCAGGGGAAACCATGGCTATTCTGAAAAACCTTTGGGTAGAAATTGTTTCCACTTAGCTTTATATTCTCAGTTACTATTTTAATCATTTTATAGGTAGTCCTTAAGTTACGATGACTTCTTCGTACGGAGCTAAACAAGGGAGATTTATAACCAGTCTGCAAAATTTGGTGTTGCACCAAAACATGTGATTGCAATGTGGACACCCGATGCCCAGCTTCTATTTATAACATTAGAGCATTTTCCAATGTACCCTTCAGCTTCCAACCAGCAAAATCAATGGAAAGTTGGCAGGAAGTGAGAAATCACTTCTACTCCAGTCAGTTTTTCACCTGCCTGCACTGTACAGTACCTGTCTGTGGCATTCCTGGTTCTTGCGGCACCTACATATCCCTATGCTCTGGGGCTCCTGTATACCAACCTGTACCACTCCACCCCTCACACTCCCTGATGCCTGCCCATGGTACTTGGTCACCACTCCATGATACCCCTATAAGTCTTGATCTGCTTGCCTGTGACCCCCATCTCCTCCTTAATAACCCATGCTGTCCTCGGGTTACCCCAGTAATAGAGGCTGCAGGATTACCATTCCTATGGGATTGGTCATGTGACATCATGTTTTACAGCTTCATTGCTTACCAATGGAAATCCCAGTCCCAATTGTTGCTGTAACCCCAAGGGTACCTGCATTCTAATTTTATGTGCTGTTTTAATACATAAATTCTAGAAACTGCCTAGGACTGGCAACTTTGAAGCAGTGAGTTAAAATCAATCAGTCAGTCAATAATTTAGTTAATTAATTTCAGGTATGCCTACATAGGATATACCACTGAAAATAAGACTTGTATAATATGAAATTATCTATTGTTCGATTTAGACTGAAAGGCTAATGTTCCTATTATTCTCTCATAAAATTACATGGACCCAGCCACTGCATTTCAACTCAGTTATCATCTCTGGTGGTTATAAAAACAAAAATGGAGTGCAACTACTAGGCACAGTCAGTCACTTGACCTTCTAGAACAGCGGTCCCCAACCTTTACGGCTTGGCGGCCCAGCTGAGGGGGTGGAGGGGGGAACAGGGCCATACAAGTGGCAGCCCAGGGCATGTGCATGCGCACACCTCAACTTGCGTGAGGAGCAGGTCAGCATGCATGTGCACACAGCTCAACTTGGGCGGGTTGACCTGCATGCACATGTGAAGATAGGTAGTATCTTATTCCTCCCCTTCTGTTGAGGGAGGGGTGTTTAATTCTAACATAGATGGATTCTTTTACCCCTCTTTCAAACCAATGGTCCTCTGTCCAAAATGTGGATTTTTCTGTCTTCAAAAGAGTGGTCTTTGTCTTTCAAACTTTAGCACATAGCACACAGACCTTGTCACAAAGAGCTCTGAACCCATTCTCCAACCTGATTTCTTCCAAAATCTTCAACCTCTGTTACTTCCATTTGTATGCATACTGGAATTTATGAAAATTAAGGTCTATAACATCTGGAAGGTGCCATACTGTGGAAAACTAATTTATTTCCAAATAAACCAAATGCCATGTAAAGCATTCATATGTCCCAAGAACATACAGTTTAAATATAAAATTGTGTCCTTACAGCGCTAAATTGGGAGTGAAGGCTGTTATCTGCAGGTGCAACAAATATATCTTGGTACAGGAAATGTGAATCACTGGAGTTGATGGTATCTAGGAAACTAGCATTTCTTTAAATATTTGCTTTTTATTTTTTTTATGGGAATTGAAATATTATCTCATAATCCTGAACAGCTGAAAATTCACCCTCTGATTCTATTAATATTCTTCAGCTTTTATGCAGCACACGGTAACTTCTCAGGAATAGTTGGGTTTTTGTACTAATATATGATAACCTGAGATTGTTGGGTTTGTTTTATGTTTTTAAATTCCTGTCATAACACAGGCTTCATATTACTGTTTTCAAACTCAGAATACTATTGTTAGGCAGGTTTGTAAACCATTAAGACACATTCACTATGAAATACGTGACATTATCCAGCCAAAAATAAATGCATCTTCCCTGTGCTTATTTCTCAATTTCTGGGGTGCACTATTAGTAAAAATGGACGCAGTGGCTCAGTGGCCAAGACTCTGAGCTTTTCAATCAGAAAGGTCAGCAGTTTGGTGGTTTGAATCCTTAGCACCACATAATGGAGTCAGCTCCCATTACTTGTCCCAGCTTCTGCCAATTAAACAGTTCGAAAGCATGTACAAATGCAAGTAGAAAAATAGGGACCAACTTTGGTGGGAAGATAACAGGGTTCCGTGCACCTTCAGCGTTTAGTCATGATGGCCACATGGCCACGGATATGTCTTTGGACAGCGCTGGCTTTTCGGCTTTGAAACAGAGATGAGCACCACCCCTTAGAGCCGGGAACAACTAACTCATTACAGTACGTGAGAGGGGAACCTTTACCTTACTATTAGTAAAAATACCAGTGAAAGCAATATTCAGATATTCTTGACAAATATGATGCTTAAAAGTTTCCCCATATCTCCTGAGCTGTCTGAGGGGAAGGAGGAAAATCCCAAAATCTGTTGAAGGCAGCCTTTGTGAATGGGATCCTGCTTCTTCTCTGTCTGTGGCAATTGTTATTTCTCTTCTTTTCCTGACCCATTCCTATTAACAGGGGAGAAAGTAGGCAGTTTTCTTTCCCTCTTCCACCTCATTAATATACATAGTTACAGGTAATCCAAAAGGTTGCTCAGTTTTTATTCAACTAATCTTAAGAAAGTAATTATACTGAAGGGGAAAATTATTGCCATTGCTGTTTGCAAGCTATGATTAAATTTTAACATGTCTTATTGGAAAGTGAGAAAATGAAACTTTTCTCAATATGAGAGTTGATGATTCAGGTTTACTGTAATGTATGTTTTTGATTTTTTTTAAAGGCCGCCTTCTCAAAGTGCTGCTTGGGAAACCATATTTCAAATGGCCCTATAAAATGTTTATTGCAGGACAAAGTTATTTACTGTTTAAAGAAAAACGTAACAGTATATTTGGCTTTTTGGTTATTTGTAGAAAAAAGAGGACTTACCTAGGTATGCTTCAGATTAAAAATGCTGTCCATTATCACAGTATGTGGAAAAAAGACAGATCTCCTGAAGCAAAAATGCATGAAGAACTTTTTTATGGAGACTAACTTAATTTTAAATTCACCTGTCAGTTTAATAGTATAAATTCTCTTTAATACAGAATATGAGGAAGAGGTGATGTCCGCAGCTGTTCATATCCTAAGTCTTTTTATGCAGCTCCTATTTCATTGTGCTCAGAGAAAACACATGTTCTTCATTTATTATGCATCTACATTCAAGTATCTGATAAATTTGTTAGGGATATTTTTTTTTACATATGTGATATATCACATTAGTTGCAATTGATATAGATTTTCAGAATCAAATATTACTAACCTTGTGGTTCCAGGAAATGTGTTTTACTTTGATAACCCTTGTCAAGTTTCTGATACTTGACCAATTTGACTTAGAATGATTGATTTTCTGTTTGCATATGAATGGATAGAAACATATATCATTAAAAAGCTGTTAGTTAGTGCATGTTTAAACTTCCTCTAGGTCCCTTCAGAATCCAGTTTTTAATAATGTGAAGTATTCTTAAAGTTCTCTGGGTGATAATCAAATGTTTGTGAATGTTCATATAGATACTATTGAAAATTCGGCGGTCTTCCCCTGCCCAGTTCAGATTAATGTCTCAAACAGCAATTGAACTTCTTGGTTTTTTCCCCCTTTAGCTTCTCATCCAATAAGCCACCTGGACATTTGAGAATCTCCATGGATATTTAACTCACATTAACCTATTCTAGACAGATATCAGAAGACATATGCCCGTTTTTTTTTTTTTAAAACACACACAATTTGATGTCCATTGGACAACAGCATTTAATCTTTATCCTTGATAAA